TTGAAGACAACTGGAAGTGTGACTCTGGACTGGAGGACACATGCATGCAGGGAGTAAGAAACTCACTGGGAGTGGGGAGTGGGTTAGTTTTCTCTTCTTCTCTTGGCTCTGCTTATGACTAGAATAGGGTTGTACATAGACTCCACAGCCTTTTTTTAGGAGATGCTCTATAAATGTTTGCTGACCAAATGGGCCAACAAATAAAGCCTGGAATTTCTAGAATGCTTCAGAATATTATTATCATATATTCTCTCTTGCTTGAGCCTCAAAACCAAAACCAAACAAACTATGAGCCAGCCTACTGATGTCATTGTTATTGTGTCCATTTCACAACAGTTGAGGCAATCTGGGAGATTAACTACTTAGCCAAAGTCACACAACTCTGGCAGAGTTAAGATTTGAACCCATGGTATAAAATTTTAGTTTCTTAATTTTTCTATTATATTAGTGTGGCTCTTCGTTTTATTGAATTTAATAAATTAAAATATGGTAACAAAGAGCTCCTCATCTCTTTCTAACATTTGCTTAAAACTCAGAGTCATGAGAACAGCTGCCTAGGGGGCAACCCCTTTCTTTCCTGTCAGTCTCTTTACCTGGTCATCTCTAAAACCAGAGAAAGGGTCACTTGGGAATACATGCCTGGTATTCATGCTCAGAGGTTTTATGGTAGGCTACACATCTTTTGATTATCTTAAAACTTCATATTAGCCTGAAGACTAAAATTCCCAATACAGAAGTTACTACATATTTTACTACCAACTATAACTGGGATCAAGGGATGATGGAAGAACTGATTTTTTAAAGAAGTAGAAAAAGGTAAAAGTAAAGGATTACACAGGACTTTATCTGAATGGCAGGTCACCAGAGGTAGGGGATAGGGAGGTGCTGTCACATTGCATGGCAGCTCCAAGGAGTTGCTGTGACTACTTGCTATGCTGTCTTGAGAACCACGCAGGTGGAATCAGGGTCCAGTAGGAGTTCCACGTTCCCTTGGTGGTATCTGTTGGTTCAGGAGCACAGTGGGAAATTTGAGCCACATAGGGTGGTTGGCCACCTGTTATAACTTGTGAAAAAGAAAGAGAAAAAGAAGTGGAAGAAGGAGAGCAAAGTCAAAGGCATTTCAAAAAGCAAGAGCTAGACAAGGTGACCCAAAGCAAGGCATCAGCAGTGAAAGATTTATTTACTAAAAATGAAGCTTAGGTTAAAATGAGGTCAGCACACCTACCAAGAGTGAAGGGTCCCTATCCACGTGGCCTGGCAGCCTGGCTAGAGGGTGGGAGAGCACACATATGTGAGACCCTTCAGGTGCTTTTCAACTGCTGGCTCCATTTTACCAAAACCCAGAAGCTAATGTCACTAGATTAGGATGAAACCCAAGCCTGGCATAATGGAGGCCTGGGCAGCAAAGTTCTCTAGAGGCTTCCTCCCCACCCCTGAATCCTCCAGCCAGGTCCTTGGCTCTATAGCTTAAAGCTCTGAGTGAGCTCCAGGAGTTAGGCTGGGAGGTGGCATGCTGCCAGGTAGGCCTAACAGCAACAGTTTTATGTGAGGATGAACATACTAATGAAGGCATGCAGAAGAGGCCAGAGGAGAAGACAGTCATAAATGCTGAGCGTGTGGGGTGTGCAAGCTTGTGCACTGGCACGCTGCTGCCCAGCCTTCCTCTAAATGCAGACCATGCCTTCCGTAATCCCATCTACCGAGCAGCCTTCTTGTACACCAGCCAACCAGCAAAACACAGCCTCCATTCTGCTCAGGAATGTGCTCTCAGAAACTTAATCTAACTGCTGAGTCTGGGCCAAATCCCCCAGCGGCATTAACCCAAAGACAGCACCCCTTTCTCTCTCCCTTACTCAACTTCCCGCCACCCTAGTGCTGCCTCCTCTGAGCTTGGGAGGCTAAAGTTCTATTCCACTAACTCCCTCTTCTGCAGGACACAGCTCCAGCCTGCTCACTCCATTCCCAGTCTCTCTCCTTCCTTCTAGTCAGGTTCAAACGTTCCACTTCTGATTCACATCTACATGACAAATTAGTTGTTACTGGCTTTCAATCTAGACCAGCTCCACACTTGCACATGCTCCTTCTTCTCTCACTGTGCCTTCTTGGGCAGCCATCGAAACCTTCCTTTATCCTCTTTGCCAACCACATACCCCTTCAAGCACAGAGAAAGCAGCAGCCAGGAATATTTTTAAAACAAAGACTATAAATTGTCTCTCCTCACAAGATACACCTTGAAGCAAAAGGAGAGCTCCAAAATAAATCTTCTCCTCCCCAGCTCTTCCTTCTCCAAGCAATAAAAGCTTCAGCCTGACTCCTTATGAGGCCAAATGAGTGCTTATGGAATTTCTTGAGCCCCACAGAGACATGCTGACTATGTGCAGGTGAAAATGGCCTCCTAGATAACTTTTAAAGGCACCATGTTGGGGAAAGACATATCTTATTTATAATAATAAACAACTACAAGTGACCTAATTGCCCATCAGTAGGAAGAGGGCTCACTACATTTTGGTAGAGCTACCTGGGAAAGCTCTAGAGCCATCAGTAATTATGGTCATGCCTAGCTGGGGGCTGAGAGGGTGGATTGGCTATGAGGGGATCTGACTGGATTTGCTACAGTGCTGGTGTGCACTTACGAAAAAAATGCATTGCATTTTTCACTTAGGATTAGTAGAATTATTTTACTCTACCATAGCATTTTTTCATTAAAAAAGAAAAAGTAAATTATCCTATGACCAGTGAAAAATGCTTATCATACAATGCCAAAGGGGAGAAAATAGAAGAGAAACTATTATTCAGTAGCATCATTACAACAATGTAAAAATGTGGGTATGAGTAAAGACTGGAAGGAGCCGAGCCTAGGCTATATAGTGAGACTTTGTCTCAAAAAACAAACAAAACAAAACAACAACAACAAAAACCTGAATTGAAAAGAGTACATACTAAAATGAAAATGGTGGTTGTATGAAGATGGCAGACTTAAGGGAGAAATTATTTTTTATATATTCTAAAATTTCTATAATGCAATTATAATTTAAAAACCTAAGCATGGAGGTAGGATGTGTATGGTGATAGGAAGCGTAGATCCAACCTCAGCCCTTCTTCACATGCTGCGATGACCTCTCCCATCTCTACCCTCTTCACCTCAGCCTCCCAGCCCTCCACAGCACAGATGGAGAAGGGGGCAGCCAGCCTCCCAGCACTAGGCCTGCTGCCAGAGGCTGGACACGGTGCTCCTTCACCCACAAAGGAGAGTGACTCCCACTGGGGGAAAGGGGACTCCTTAGCTGCAGCTCAGGGTCAGCCTATCCCAGGTGGGAGACAGCTGAGGACATGCTCTGCCCTCCCCCTTTAGAAAAGGGGACAGCCACTTGGTTATTTCCCAAGAAACAGGAGTACAGCTGGCAGCCTCCATTCTACTCTCCCACAGTGACATCCCTCCAGGGACCTGGAGACCAGAGGGCAAGAGGAAGCTTTTCTCCCTTGCTTTTTTACTTCCCCATCCCTCACCACTCTCCTCCCAGAGCTCATGTCTCAATAACCCCAGGAACCCCAGCATTTCAGAATTTTGCTGCCTTTGGTATTACCTGTGCCAATTTCCTAGAACCACATCATCCATAATGTCAATCATAATGGTGATGTGGAAGCCCAAAGCAGGACTCTCAGGGATAAAGGGACACTGCTAAGTCACAAAGGAACAAGTCCCAGACATCTTCTCAAAGTTTAAATCCAAACACCATTAAAGTCTTGACAAGTTTCCCTATCTCCAACACTTCAGGAGAGGGGTCAAGTTGGAGACAATTCTTTGTATTTCCTGCCTATAGGCTCAACACAGAAGAATGGGAGTTGGGGTTGCTCTGCAGACCTCAGTAGAATATTTCCTATATGTACAAAGGTTAGAAACTCAGATAATGCAGGTCCGGGGCCATTGTACACCTAATGGTAATTATATATAAAGGTAATGTGTCACACTGCCTACCTCCACCTGGTCTAACATTATGTGGCCAAGTAGGGACAATGCAGGGGCAACTAGAAACACCTGTCCTGGTTAAGGCACCTCTTCCAGCTGTGACTCTGTGAAGTCACTTGGCCCCCAAGTTTGTTCTAGTGGATCCTCATGAAATATACTCAAATTATTTTGTAAAAACCAGGTCTTGCTTTCAAAAACACAAAAGAAATAAGAACAGTCATGAGGACCATCTGGCAGGAAGTACACAAAAATAGAATCCACCAGAATTGCCCAGCTGGGAGGGACCTTAGAAGCCATTTGGTTCTTGGTTTCCATATGTTGGCTTCAGTACCTATGTTCTTTGTAATGTAATAATCAGAGAAAACAGAGGTCAGAAATAACACTGATTCTGTATCACAAGCTCAATGTTAACTCAATGTTTAACTATCTTAAACTATTTTATACTGAGTGCAATAGCATAAATAAGACAGGTAAACTCAAAAAAAAAAAAGAAAGAAAGAAAAGGAAGTATGAAGTCATGGATAACTCTGGCACTTAATCTCTTCCTTGTTTGTCTTCTCTCTATCTCTTTGTCACACAGTTTTCTTTTCATTATGTTCTACAGTCTGTATTCCATTCCAGGCTTTTGAAATATATATGCTAAGGCCAAGTCTGGGGTGGGCAGGGTCTGTCCAGCATCCGGGTGAATGCTCAGCCTGTAACCACTGTGAGAATGGGTGATGGGGCAGACAGGGTGGACAGTGTGGTGTGGAGAGGGTAGGTGTGGCCCAACTCTGGGCCCCCCAGGACAGGTCACCCTTTGTAGATGCTCACTCCAGACATCAAGCTGGCTTGGAGTGGAGCTTTCCAAGGGTGCCATGGTGCTCCATTCACTGTGGATTGTTGGACAGCTACTGCCCTCTGATTTGAAATTTTAGCAATTTAAACCCTTCTGGTCTGACTAATGAAAGGGGTATGGGCGATGGGGGGAAAGAAATAGTGGGATAAAGGAGGTAGAAACACACTATGCATAATGGCAAAGGTACGGACTTACTGGCTAGTGTCACTGTGGCTGGCACGCTGGCCACAGCCCCTGCAGGCATCCGGGCCACACACTGGTACCGTCCCACAGTATGGTTGTTGAGGGCAGCTATGACAAGAGTCCCTCGGGTAAGAAGGACACCCAGAGCATCATCTGAGCCATTCAGCTCCTTCCCATTCAGGCGCCAGGTCACATTCACCCATGGTGGATCCACCACACAACCCAGGATCACAGTCCCTCCAAGCTTTTGGACGGTGGACGCAGGCTGGACGGTGACCTGAGGGACCTCATCTGGAGAAAGAACAAGGCAGTGATTAACTGATGCCCACAAGAAATCAGCAACATTGCTGATTTAGAAGCACAGCCCCCAGACAGCTTTCCAAAATTGAGCACCTAGGGGAGATGATATTTTTCTGAATAACCTACTGCCTGAGCCCATCCCCCAACCTGTCTTTGTTTCTTAAGAGTAGATTTGGGGGTGCTCTGCCGGGAGTTGGACAGCTACTACTTCTGAGCCATGTGACTCTGGCCTTTTTGTCTCATCTGTAAAATGATAAAAAATAATGCTTGATTCGGTGTTGTCATGAGACTTACAGTCATGTGAAAATAGCCTGCCATGGTCTTCTATGATAAATGCACAACAGAAAGGTAGTTATTATTGTTGCTATTCCTCCCCCACCTCTGACATACTTTTGAAATGAATAAAAATACCAAAGTGTAACCAATATGGTGCTGTCCTGATCATTCCTCATCTTGTATTCTTGAGTGTGTCCCTGAAGGGAATGAAGTGTGCTATAACAGCTGTTAGGAAACTTGGTGCTTCCACCACACGTCAGAGCAAAGGGTTCTTCCCAGAGGGACAGGCTGAGAAAGAGAAGGGAGGCACTCACTCAAGTCGGCAAGACAGCTTGCTGTGGCCAAGAGGAGCCAAGGGAGTGTGACCAAAGGACTCTTTCCTCTCTGTGTTGTCATTATCCCACGCGGCATGTTGTGTCACAGAGGGTCCCAAGTCCACGTCCCATAGACCACTGGGTCGCTCACAGAGATATCACAGTCCCCTGTAACACTGCTGTGAGAGAAAAGGGGGAGAATGGCCATGGTGAGAAATCTGATTGTCCTTGTCACAGCCATAGGCCCTGACTTCGTCCCTCACCCTTACTGCCATCATATTTATTGGCATTGTCAAAGCAGAGACCTGGATGTGCTACTGGAAGACCAAAGAACCCCTCGTGCCATTTCTCACTAGAAGAAAGTTCTAGTGAGGTATGCTCCTAAGCTAGAAGAAGGTTTTATTATGGCAAGAACACTGGAGCCTTGCCCAAGGGACCCACAGCAATGAGGATAGGGAGCCCAGGGTGAGACCTACAGAGGTCCAGGCACAGGGCAATGAGCATAGTACAGATGCTGGAGCAGACGAAGTTACTCTTAATCATTTGCTAGTCAGAAGCCAGGTGTCCACAGCTACGTGGCATGCCATGTCACTAGTACAGACCATTGTGGGATAGCACTGTCACGTGTAATGCATACTGAATTCCTCTTTTAGAGGATGTTCCTAATTAATGAATCCTAATCTCAGTGACTTATGAAAGCTCTTCTGCTTTGATTCTCCTCACCCCAACTCCACACCTATATTCCTGGGAACTCTCTTTTATTCCTGAAATCAACCTCCCCTCCTTGACTTGTCTCTAACTTCTACTGCCCCAGGCACGAACACAGACACAAGTCACACATCAGCTAACACCCTTCCCCTTCTCAGTGGATAGGGCCTTATTTCAGCTTCACTTGCTGGCTTTCTGGAATTCTGGGTTTCCATCTCTACCAAATCTGTGCTCTTGACAATTGCCAGGGTTACATCTCTACCTGAATGATATCCCCTTGGGGATTCAGACAGCACTGCCACTTGGTGAGCCACCCCTTAACCCTTGCCTAGAATGTGAAATTCTCCCCTTCCACAGTATTATTTCTTTATGCCTCCCATAATCTATTGTCCTTGAAAGACTCATCAAAATCACACAGCAAGTTTGTATTCTTGTACACGCACATGTTTCTGCCACAGCCAAAACAAAGGTTTTGTGTCTGTGCTTTCATTGGTCTATTTATAGAACATTATCACATAAGGAAGGTGGACAGTGGCCTTCTTAGACAGGGAGGCACCAGAATGGATTTGTTAACACTGAAGGCAACTTTCCAATGACTAGACAGTGAAGGAATTCTCACAAATCATTTGCATGTGGCAGTACTAATGGTATATTTCTAGGAGAGTGACCCGAACTCAAAATGTTCTTTTTTTTTCAAATAGTTGAGACTTTATTCTAATAGCTATAATTACAGTGCTTGTTGAAATGAAAACTGAAAACAAGTATACAAAACAGTTGATTACTAATCGTGTATCGAAAGCAGTAAGAGGTTCCATGACACCAAATAAACCAGTTCTGAGGTTTCCCCAAGATAAATTTAACAGCTCCAACTTCTTCAGTGTTTATCAAAATACAAAAGAAAAAAGTAGAGGTCGTCGTTTTTTATGGCAAATCGGACCCTTGCAGGCTGAGGGAGGAAGCTACTTCACACATGGAGATGGGGGTGCTCCAGGGCTTTGGGTCTGGAATGGACTGACCCTCCCAGCTTGCACACGCTTCTGCTGGTGAGACCCAGGCCTCCTGCCAGCGCTTAGAGTAAGCTAGGAACACGGGCTGCCGCTTGGCCACACACTCACCAAGGATGAGGCTGTGCCCTGCGGCCCCATGATGGCCCCTACCCGCCCCTAGGTGACCACGTGAGCACGAGTACAAGCACGACGCTATGGAATGCAGGTGACCCAAGACAGGCGAGTCACAGGGGCTCTACTGTGTCCATGCAGCGAATGGTTTGTTCATCACCGTATCTCCCATTCCCATAAGGGAACAGCTGATTTGATGGACTAGCATTCAGGCGGTTACTGCAAAACCTACACTACGCATAGTCTCCCTTGTGGGTTCAAGTGCCGAACTCAAAATGTTAATTCTCCTAGAAGAAGACTCTTAGGGAAAACTTGGGGGGGGTTAGTTAGCGTCCCAATCTAGAGCTCTGTGGTGAGGCAGGGACCTGAGCACTACTGGTATAGGGGACTGCAAGCCAGGACCCCAGGCTCTTGCTCTGGGTTTGCATGTGCCTGGGATTTGCCTAGATCTTTTGCTGCTCTGGGACCCTTTGGATTCTGGCTCTCAGCCAAGCTGCTGAGAGAGGGCAGGGGGCCACACCCGTTCTGCCCAAGAGCACCCTCCAATCCACACCCAGAGCTCTGTCCCACACTGATGCTCATGTTTTCCAAGAAAGATTTCTTTCCCCTTGATGTTTATTCTCACCCTTTGTTTTGTGACTTTGACATCTAAAAGGGGTTTGAGAGAGAGAGAGAGAATATGCATTTGCTTTTGTTCAGACTACCCAGTAAATCAAAGGGCCATATTACTAGCAAAGTGAAGCTTGTGAAGAGGTGAGGATGTGAGTCAGACTGAGAAGGTGGTGGAGGCGGGAGAAATGGGTGCCTGCTATTGCTCCAGGAACTGGCTAAGCACAAGACACCTCCTCTCATCTTCACATCAGCCCTGCAAGGTGAGGGCCCTTATGAAATTCTGGAAACTAAGTTCCAAAGGCTAAGTAACTTGCCCAGTGGTCACATAACTACAGGCCTTGACTGAAACCCACGTTTGACTGATTCCAAAGCTCTGTTCTTTTAGCCACAATAGTAGCCTTTTCCCATTTTTTTCTGTCAGGGCTCTGTACCCAGTGGGTGTTTAATTGAATTGGAAATAAGGGTGAAGTAGAATAGTAACTTCTAGAGGAAAAATTCATACCGAACAGTAAGGTTTTGGTGTCCTCTCAGTTTTCCAGACACTTGTTTTAATTTTCTAATCTACTTTTTCTTAATGAAATAATGCATTAATACAAAACACTGCATGAGTTTCCAATCACAGGATTTTAAGGAACTAGCTTTTCATGAGATGTCCCAGTTTCCCCAGTTCCCTAACCAGACAGATTTCAACTTCCTTTCCTGTCCCAAGGAAGGGCAGAGAAGGGAAGCAGAGGAAAGAAGAAAGGAAGGAAGGCAGGTGGGTAGGGAGGGAGGCAAGGAGGTAGGGAGGGAGAAAAAATGACCATGAAATAATAAAGGACAAAAGGTAAACAAGCAGATAAAGTTACAGTAGGGATACACTGGGAAATCCCTTGAACATTGACTTTGGAATTAATCATGAAAGAAAGGACTGCAAAATAGGTACAGTGGGGGGTGGGTACTTGTGGTGGGGGGGGTGAATGGAGGAGTCGAAAGTGAGGGAATACCAGCTTTACAAACATATAGGAAATAGAACCAGGCAGGAGGGGATGGGGGTGAGGGGGAGATGGTAAAGGCCATCTAACCAATGTACAATGAAAGGCTATTTGGACTTGTCATGATGAATCTCCCTTGTACAACAAACATAACTTAATAAAAATGGAAAAAAAATAAAATGCAATGTAATATGCAAGTAAAAAGAAAAAGGCCAGAGGACTGTTTCTTATCTGAGTACCGGGTGATTACAGGGGTGTTTGAGCTGTAAAATCAGCAAAGGTTTTACTGAGGAAATTCAGCCCAGACCCCCTCCTGCTTAACGAGGACAAGCCAAACAATTCCTGTTACTTCTGCACCCTTGGTAATTTATAAAGTTCGAAATGGAAACAGACCCCACTATTGCTACCAGCTACCATCCTGCTTTTAAAAACAAGGAGAAAAGAATGTAGTTGGCCTGGAGGAGGGGTGAGAGGAAAGGTTTCCACAGAGGGAGAAAGGAGTTAACTCATTAGAGTTAACTCACTAATCCCCATCTCAGAGTTGTAAGCAGGTACCATTTTAATGACCCACAAATCAGGACACTGGAGTTTCGTTCATGCAAAAGCAGAACTGTGACTAAAAAATTACAAAAACAACAGCAACAACACAAAGCTTGTGTGTGTGTGTGGGGGGGTGGATTACTCATGGTGCCTAACAGCTGAGAAAACTGTTATTTCTTGGACCAAGTCACCTAGTGAATTTAGTCTAGAAGTGTAACAATTCCAAAGATTTAAGTATATGATTTAAAGTTTAAAGTTTTAAAGTTATGTTAAAAAAAAAAAAGTCAAGTAAGGCTTAAGTTGGAGAATCTAATTGCAGTGTAACTCAGTCTCACTGTGAAATGAGCAAGGTACAATTTCAAAGTTAGGTGAAGACAACAGTGAGGCCTGTTATTTTTCTTGGCAATGAAACTATGTCTGGCTTTTCTTATTTTCTTATGCATATTCTCAGAAAAAGAGGACAAATTAAGAAGAAAAATCCAAAACAGAGAGAAGGGAAATGAATTCTTGCCATGAATTCCTCCCTGAGGTCTAGGTACTTGCCATTTTTAAGGGTAATTTGGACGAAAAAGAAAGTATGTCTGAAAGTTTCATGGCTGACATACATGTTCCCCACTGAAATAATCGCCTCCAAACAGACGTTTCTGAAACTTTCCAAAAACAACAACAGCAAAACACACTTCTGGGGTTGAGACCAAGCATGAGAAATTGTAGCCTTGGACTATTTATTTTTTTGAGAAAATTACAAACAACTGAGAGTCGATCATCAGGAGGAGGCCAGCTCCACCTCCTCCCCAGAGGGCTGGCTGAGTACATGGATGAGAGTGAGACACCACACAAGGCCACCATCTCCTCTTCTGGACACCCTGGCTATTGCAGCTGCCTCAGAAAGGGAAGCCTGTGGGATCTAAACCACAAAACACACCCTCTCAAAGTCCTGAGATCAACAACAAAGATGAGCTGAGCAGGAGAGAGTGTTACCTAGCAGACAGCACTGACTTCTTAAAAACAATTTATTATTTTTTTTCTGTGTGTGTGGCTAGAATGAGATCTGACAAAGTCTTTTGTTCCACTGGTTGAGAGAGGCTAGCTACATGAAAAATTAAGTATTTCTGCCCCAAGGTACATGTTTTTGCATGTTTTCAATTTCACAGAGTAAGATTCCTCTTCCCCAGTGGTCTGTGAAAGCAGAGCAAAGCTTGCCCTTCAGAGGGGTTGCCAAGTGGC